CTGTTCTTAAGTGTTTGCGGCTTTAGATCTCTCGATTCAACCTCTGGAAGATTATCATAACCGTGACCTGGTCGAGATCTCGTTGAATACTTCATTTCCCTTTATAGAAGTGGTAGTGGTTCAAATTTTGCTAGGTTGAGCGTAAATATTAAATCGATGTAATACGTCTATAATTATTTCGTGCTAGAGAGAGCTGTATGAAACACTTATTTACATATTTTTCTTAAATGTGGCAGGATAAAAAATATTATAAATTAAAAAAAAAAATGGTTTATAATGTTACTGTTATCTAACCAATTTAATCGAGTCTGTGATTTCTAGCCGAATAGTCCGCGGGAAACGTTTAAATGAAAATGTTAGATACTTAGTCGTTTTTGGACTTATTTTAAGTTTATTGCATATGTGCATATATAGATCATTGTTTCCCACATTCATTTTTAATATTGTACATTATTTCATAAATTGGGTACTATTTCAAGAAGAAAGAATTACTTTATTTTTTACTGCTTTCGTGAAGAAAATAATGTCGTAAACGACAAATAATAATGCGCATTAAATTTTTGTTTTTTTTTATTATTAATTTTATCTTTGCAAAACATTCATTATGTATCAATTTAAATGTATTTCTCCGCGGTCTGGAAGCGCCTACCTGTGTCACGTGTGGTGCTGCTAGAACAGTCACCCATTGGTGAATGTCAGCAGTATACACCTAAAAGAGAAAAACTGAGTTCCAATATACGAGAAGTCCTAGAAGACAAACGGGTGTCCAATCTCTTATAAAATTCTGAAATAAATTAAGCTTTACCACCGAACGTAGAAATATAAGAGATGCTAATGACTCTTCAGGCTAAAGCCATTAGCACAATAAAAAAAAAATGCATATTAGTTGATATATATCTTTATTAATTTCCATTAATTAAAATTTGTTTGAAGAAATAAAAATATTGGCCAGTCTACTGGTTAAAATGAAATAACAACAGCATTTTTACATAAGTGAATTAATTAAATTAAAACGTATATAAAAAAACGAACTATAATTATGGAAAAGTAAATTATTAATAATATAAATGAACTAATTTTATTACAAACGCTCTTCGTACAAATCCCTTGTCACTAAACTTCAGTCGTAATGACGAACCCTTGTTTTACTTGTAGCGCTAAACTTCGTCGTATCGACCAAATATGTTTTGTGTAAGTACACCTCATAAAAACGGAAGGCAGAGTGGTTCAAGGTGTATGCAACAACATCCGGAAGGAAAGGACTCATAAGAGTTAATTATTAAGTTTTTACTAAGAATTGTTTAGTCACGTTCGTCGATTCGACAAAGGTTTATTGCAAAGAGCCATTAAATGAAATTTCATAATTTGAAATCGCTAAGAACTTTGATGCATTGTCTCTTTATGAAACAAGAAAATAGTGTTATTTAAGTGCACTTGATGTGTTTTTTTGGACCGATAAACAAGGTCAAAATTTAAAAAAACGTTTTAAAAATTTTAATTCTATAAATATTTACTTAGTGACTTATTGCAATAAACTAACGGTATGTGTGCATGTCGATGTTCTCGACTTATAAAAATTTGATTTTTTTTTTTTAAAGAAATTATTCTCTTGAGAGGATCTGAAGGTTCAGTTTGTGAGAAAAGTAGTTCTTCCAAGCGGTAAACATTTTTGAAATGGTCTCCATCCTAAAATATCAACTTCGAAGGAAATCCGGTTTGACTTCTCATGCTCAAGAACAACTCACCTTCCTGAACCTTGGCAAAAAAAAAAAATAATAAAAAAATCACACCACATCAAAATCACATCACCACTGATCTCATACCATTTTTAATTTTTACATGAACTGTATTCATTCCGATCACATATGAGAACGTAGTTAATAAGGCATTTCTTCCTAAATTTAAAACATATTTCCACATTTTTCTAACAATAAATCATACATAATATTGTCAATATATCATCACACTATGTGCGAGGTGATGAATGCGTAGTTTGTTGTCGGGTTACCCACCCATCGGTAGTCACCTGCTGACTTCTATTCAAAAGGTCACGGACTTGAGAGTTGTGTGGGCGTGGGTTTCATTTTGAAAGGGTAGTAATCTATCTATTTCTGGTCGAATCAGCAAAATTGAGGGTAAATATCATAGGCCACCGTGAATCGTGAATTTATAAGTGTTCATTATAAGTATTTGATGGTTTTTTTAAAACTTTAATGCTTATTGTTTTTATAAGTCAGTATTTTCTTCTTACAGTCATCCGGTGATGGTTAGCAGATAGTGACTATGAAGATTCACTCAAATAATTTTCTTAGTAACTAAGTAAAATATTTGTATCTAGTAGAGTTTGTAATTCGACTGTTTCGATTCGGTCTGGTGGACTATCGCATTTTTTTTTTCGGTCCATCCCTTCCTTGCCTTTTAGGTTATACGGGGACTTTTTCCCGGACCAGGGGTGAGGGCGGGTTTCGATGCCCGAGTTAAAATCTCTCCCCGGACCGGGACGCGTAATCATTTTATCTTTTAATCTCGGTCTATCAGGTTGTCGGGCAACGGTATAGCCTACTCGACCACCCCGCCCCTTAATTTTTTCCCCTTTTCTCCCCTTCTTTATTTAGTCATGCGGGTTTTTCCGGTGTAGGCGAGAGGGTAGGGGATTAAGGTAAGAGTTCAAAGGCCTCCCTCCTCCCCGTAAATCGTAGGTCTTCTGTAAGTACGCAGGTCGACATCCCTTTTTTGAGCTTGGTTGTTCACACACATTCACTATATCATGATGAGACTCGGTTATTTGTTTTTAACTCAACATCTAATTTTAAATTTTTATTTTACTCTTTAAAATTATTAAAGACAATTTTTATATATATTTTAAACGTTTTTCAGAATGATATAAACAATAATAATCTAGTTTAGAAATATAAACATTATGTATTTATATAAACTTGTATGTATTTTATGCGAACTTGTATGTAAGGAAGACCATAAGGACGAGAAAGTGTTGGTTTGCATGTTAGTATTGAGATTTTTATCTGTTTGTTTTTGTTTCGTTTGTCTTGGCCTTGCTGAGATCCCGTAAAGATGGGTGTTGGTGTTTGTCTTTCAAGCAGATTTTATAACTCTTCGCTGCCTCTCAGTTGGCAAGCAAACATTTTCACTCCTCCTTTTCATTGTGAAATGTAGTCGTTTACCTTGGCCTGGGTGTATAAGGGGATTAATATTCGGTTAATAACGGCATTTCAATAGGATTATAGGCTTCAAGGATGAATGGGAAAATAAATGGGCCTCAGACAATGTAGTGCTCTCTCTCCATTCATTTAATTTGCTGCTAAGGGACCATTGGAATTCTGGACATCCCGAGCTCTGTATAGTCCAAATAGAGGGGGCGGGGGAGGGAGGGAGCGGGATGGGTGCTTTATTACCTCCTCTATGAGCTGGCAGGGGATGGGGAGGGGGGTTATAATGTAGATAAATCTATTTATCTATACATTCATTATGTAATTTATTTCTTATCATTTCTTTTATCAAGTAATACTGAATCCTGTTACACTTAAAGACATTGGTAATAGTTGGATCAGAGTACATTTATTATTTACAGGAAATAAATAAATAAAATGAACTAAGTAAAGGCAAAATTAAGTTACAAACAATGATTAAATTTAAATTCTTAAACAGAAGTTTACTTAAATATAATTTTTACAAATAAACTTTTTACAACAAACAGGCTTGGGATTTACCTTCGCATATGAAGGGAATATGAGTGGTCTTGGAGATCCAGACTTCTGTCTCAACCACGTCTCTGGTATTAATACCAGTTTTTAAAAATCTGAATGGAGAATCTGGCTACTGTCGAAACTCCAATATAGGATTCGAGGCCAATGCCGTTGCAGTCTTCGAATATTATGAGGATGGGTGATGCTGGGTTTGTGCTACATGATTTGGATGATGACATAGGTTGTGATGAATTTTTTTGAATTTGTTTGGAACAAGGGCTAGAACAAACGGGATATTAAGATCATAATTTAGGGTTTCTTGATTTAATTGATTGTTGATCGAAGAACATTGTGTTGAAGGATTGGATGCGCTTGAAGTTGAAAAAAAAAAAATAGTTTTTTCCTAAAGGTCCAGAAAGATTTCATAATTGTTTTGTTGATAGATTGCCCTATTATGATCTCAATAAGGCCCTATAGTTTTGTTCCATGAAAACAAAGTTGTTGATGAAATGATATTTCACTTGATATTGACATTTTTCAGTATGTAATTATATATTCGCGAACATTCCTACTTTACTGTTTATGAAAATATATGGGGAAGATAATCTGTTGCAATTTGCAAATGTGGCTGACCGTGAATTATCAATTCAGGGAGTGTTTGTTGAAAGGTCAAGACGGGGAATAAAAAAACATTTCATCATTTTGCTTACGTACGAAACTGTGACTTCTGTTCTCCATCGCTTTTTAAACACATTGATGTCCTACGACATTGGCTGAAAGGTCGGATAGAAAGTAAATATGACAAGACGATGAAATGTTTTATTCAACTTGAACGTTCCCTGACAAACATACTCTGAATAATGGAATATAAAATGTGTGTTTTATTCAACTTGAATCGATACCCTACAATCATATCCGTATTTATAATCCACTGTCACCCGTCCCAGGCAGGATATAACATTATTTCTCTCGCTTTGTTAAATAATTGAGAACTGTAGATATCTACGGTTCTGTTTGTGTTTCTATTAATTGGATCTATTATCTCTTCCACACACGTTGTTTTAATACAAAATTATAAAAATAAATTCAATTAAAAAGATTATTATTTTCTTAAAAGAGTGGGATTACAATTGATTGTGAAACTTAAAATCAGTTCCCATTTTTCATTGTTATCTGTATTGAACCTTTAAATATTAAATTTTTGTTTTAGATGATAGAGATTGCAAAGTGGCAATCAGCCTTTATCGGTGTCCCTCGTTTTACCGTGTCATTACACTAATTGATGTGGGAGGTTGATTAGTGTAGGCACGACACCATGTAACTGCCCCCCCCTTCTCCCCTCCCGTTGTAGCAGGTAATGTTGCCTTGTAGCGTCCATTTACTAATTAGCGAGCCGATGGGATGTCCATTTGTGTTGTGGTTTCGGCCGCGTCCGATAGGGTTGGTGGTTTGGTTTGGATTTGCGGCCAGCGACAAATTGTCCATTGTTCTGTACCACCGCTGATTGGAATTGAAGCTGAAGAGAAATGACACATTCAGAGCCATGCTAACTACTATGGTTTCGTACCGATAGTAGAAAAATGTTATCGATATCTGCTATATGTATCTTTACCATATTAAATGTAAAACCTTTAATTTAACTTGTGATAAATTAGTCAAATAGACCTTTTGCTGCAATAGTTACTAATGCAATGCATTCCTTGAGGTATTACAGGGAAAACGAAAGGCAACATTACATGTATGTATTGTAATTGCTAAAATAAAATGGTTGAAGGATGAGGGAAAAACTTATTTTAATTTTTCATTCGAAAAATGCGATTCTTATACAATAGTATATGTTGAAGCGAAAGTTTATCGGACTGACTACAATTATTGATCACTGGCTATTTTATCATATAGGTTTCCGATAGGCTAAAATTATAAGTTGAGTACAGGAACCTCCTGTGGTTCTTGTTTATAGATCTTGTGAATGAGAAAATTAAAAACATACCAACTTTTTGCCTACGACCTAGAAACTTTATTCACCTAGATAAATTATTGCATATACCTATAATTATTTACTAAAAAAAAAAAAAAAAATATATCGTATATCGTATGTCCTTGACTTATAGTACTGATATTTTCTCTAAAACATTTTAACTCGATACCTAGACAATAGCGAGATATGTTTTTACGTATGTTGATATAATAATAGTCTACCTTTTATTGTTTTTTCCTGGTGGAGATATTAATCGTACGATATCCGAAAAAAAATAAAATTAATTATTTTTAGCTATTGAACTCATAGGTTAATTGCCAAAGCCTCGGGTTCTCAACGAAAGCATGCGTTGCAGGATGTTGCACGTGGTTCGAAATTGGCACAAGTTCGGCCAGTAGGTTGTTAAATTTTCTATTCTTAATTTTCTTATTTTATATTGAAAAGGCAAAAAAAATTTTTTTTTGGGCAATCAAGGGCTGATCAAAGTAGCAAAATCACTACCTTAATATATTATAATAATTGTATAAATAGTAGTTATTAACTATATGTTTTCATTGTGTAGGTACATTCTCACAATTTATTATAATTAACTAATTATTGAGATGTTGAGAGGGTACAGTTGCGGCACGCTTTAGTATTGGTAACCATATGTTATGGTAAGGTTTAAAAATAGGTCATTGCACGGCCATAACTTATGGCCTAAGCTAACAATGATTAATATCTCCAAACCGCCATGTATTCCGCCAATCAATGTATCTTGCCAAGAGCAGAGAATACGTGATCATCGACGTCACGTTATGCTCCTCAGGTGTTTGCTTATCAGTTTAGATCTGGGTAGTCAATAACATTGTTATGCTTAAATTTGTAATGACGTAGTTAGTTAAGTTATATTTTTGGGTCCAGTTCACACATTTCATTGTCTGTGTAGCCTTTCAAACAAACACCTTATCTTTTTTATTATCATTTCATAGACGTTTATCTTCTCATAGAATTTCCCTAAATATTTTTCTGCAGATTTGCATTTTGAGAGGTTACATCATGTCATCATAATTATTTTTGCTTATAATTAGGATTATTTAAATCAAATTTTGATGTAAAGGGAATGTACACATTACTTACCTGTAATCTTAAAAGGTTAAAAACGGAAGGGGGGAGAGAGGGGTTACATGTCTTTATCGCTATTTCAACTCCTTATTATTCTCAGTTACGAAAACTCGTAACTCAGTATCATTAATAGCAGTATCACTATTTCATAGGCCTTGACATTGGGAATCTTAACATTAATTTTCTTTATACTATCTTTCTTAATATTCCAGCGGAAATCGTTGTGAACGATTTTCTGTTAACTTTCCAACGCTTGTAAATAATATTTTGTCATATAATAGGGTTCAACGTATTTTAGTCTTATAAAGAGAGGTATTTGAACGTGTTGATAGATCTGAGCTACATTATAAATGATATAGCTTTATTTATTTTTCAGTTTTTATTTATTTATTTTGTCTTGTGACATTAATCTTCATTCAACACTTTTTTTTCCTGATAACAATGTTTTTTAAAGATTTGAAAGACTGCTTTTTGATATTGAGGTAGTTTTGGTTTTAGTGATTATTTCGTTATTATATGTGCCACCGAATCAGGCGGTTGGTCGCTGATATTGTCAAAGTTTCCCTCCATATTCCGCCTGGGTTTAATCCGGCTACTATATGACTACAATATTCCTTTATTGTCGCAAGCGCTTAAGCATCATTGCAAAATAAATTGTTTCTATTTTACAAGATGGGAAAAATGCTACATTTAACTTGATTACTTTTTCCATGGGTTGTAATTTGTAGTTAAATATAATTTTTAGTGCCGTAATGTTACTTTCTCAGCTTCTTTCTTAAATAGAAAAAAATAATGATTTTTTAAATAACGTTATAAGTAATTAGATGTAATTTTTTTTCTCTTTCATACTCTTGTAGGCCAACTTTTTGGTCTATTTTCATGACTCTTTATCGAATTTAATTATTTTAATATATCGTCGGTTTATTACAAAAAATCATTCAAGTAACATTTCATAACCTCAAATAATCAGGAGCTTTGATGAATTTTCCCTTTGTATTGATAAATAAGGTCGAAATTTACAATTATAGTTTTGAAAGTTAACTTTTTTTTATTTCTTAATGATTTTTACAACTGTATGCAAGAAATATATTTAGTAAATTTGATTATATGGATATAATGACGTGAAAACACTTGTTGAGTAATTACCCAATGTTAGCATTCTAATGATATGTCTACATTAGGAGATCACGGGGCCGTCTTCTTTTCAGACGGATCGGAGGTTTATCATGGATTGAATAAGAAGCAAGGTTAGAAACGAGATGGTTGGGATGATTCTGAAATTTATTATGGAAGGATAGGTATCTGGATTGGGCCAGATCTGAAACATAAGAAACATGAAGGTCATTATGGATGGTTTTATTTGTAATATAATAGGGAGCATTGAGGATTTTACGAAGGATTTTGGACTGTAAGGATTGGATAGGAGAAGAATTCGATGGTTTAGTGGAGTCCCATAGCTCAACTCCCTAAGTCCAAATAGGCCTTATAGTCATGTATATGAGTCTTTTGTAATTAATTGGAAGTTCAGAGCGTTTGTCTAGTAAGTGCCGAAGTAATCGGAAACGTCGAGTGGTTTCTTGTCGTTTAAGTGTGCTAACTTTAAACAAAAAGGTACTTAGTGACATTTTTGCAATATACCGAAGCTGTAAAGTTTACATATATTTTTTATTAAATATTTATCAATAAATAAAATCAATATGCTCTTAAAAAAATAAATTTGTATTGTTTTAAGTAATTATCCCATCAGGATTTGATCCTACTACCAGTTGATTATAAATCTGAAAAAATATAAAATGTTATTTTAGAAATCCAAAACATCATAGGCTTTATTTTATTTTCTACTTATATTTATTTATTTTGTTAGTGAAAATAGATAATTATAATATACATTATTCTAATCATAATATTGTTGTAAACTAAATAGTTATTGATGAAGCTTATATGACTCCAAACATTAAACCGAACATGGTATTACGATTTTTTAGTTGTGTCGGGTATATGTCATATTTAATAAAAATATTTAGTTAAAAATATCAATTAATCTAAGATAATACAAAAAAAATAATAACATCGATCCATTGTTTATTTAATACATTTAAATTATATTTACCCTTTTTCTTAACCTATATCACTCATCTTGAAGATGTGACTGAATTCACTTGGAACTATCTTCTATTCTTCAAATTGCAATAATATGATCTTATCAAATCCTATCCGCATTGTTTGCTCTTCTTTTCACGTTTGCTCTCATTGGATTCAGTTCTGTATCGAGTTGGAACAGAAAATTGTTCGCTCGAGTCGGTTCCAATGGGATTCGCTATATCTTGAGTTTTCATCTACCCTGTGTGAGCCGAGTTACTTGGAAATCGATGGCAGTTCTAAATCAGATACACAGCGCATTAGGGCTTACTAACATTAATTAACTTAGGGGGTGTAAACAGGATTAGTTTTAATTTTATTTGTTGTGGTATTTCTCCTTTTGTTTATTTTGTTATTGTTCGTTGTTACTCTTTTAAATAATAAACTTACACAGCTCTATTAATCAATAGAAAGGTTTAGATATCTCACATAATTTTATCGAGTCGATATTTTTTTAAAAACTTTATTGTTGAGAAATATAACAACCTGGACATTTATTAATTGTGTTCCGAGAGAACATGAGAACAGAGAACACACTCATGTATAATAAATAAAAATAAATTAAACAACAAAATAATAATACTAAAATTAAATGTATTTAAACAATAAGAAACTAAACTAATCAAAATAACAACTTATATACAGCCGTACTTTTATAAAATATTTACCAAATAAATATGGTCCAAAAATATTTGAGAACCGCAGCTACGTCACGGAAGTCTTATGCGGCCTTGATGCAACACCTATCGTATATTCCTTCGTTGTCCGTTCCACTGCATTCTGGAATTCCATCCATTAAAAATCCGCCATGCATCATCCTTATCCACCTTTAAAACCCTCTTATTCCAATTCCTCTTCACAATCCAATCAGACGCTGGTTAAATACATACTATGTTATAATAATTATAATAATAAGGCTTAGCGAACCCGAAGGTTCGATGCCGACACCACCAATCGCTTGTTACACACCTCCCTCCACCGTTCGCCGTCCAAACCCAGTCCCTTCAGATCGGCTTTAATGCAATCTTCCCACCTTCGCTTCGGTCTACCCCTCGGACGCTTACCATTCGGCACAGCAAATATTAACCTTTTAGGAATTCTCTCGTTACTAAGCCCAACAACTTTATAAGCCCATTTGATTCGCCGCGATGAAATTACCTCAATTATATTACCCGGATACAGCTCACGAATTTGAGCGTTGTGTAACCGTCTGAACTCTCCGGTTAACTCATCCTTCTTCGGTCCGAATATTCTACGCAATACTTTATTTTCAAAAACCTTAAGACGCTGCTCATCCCTTAATGTAAGCGGCCAAGTTTCGCAT